AGCCTAACTGGAATGTTCTAGGAAGGGTACAAGGCAGCAAGGAAGAGGGGGCCACAAAGGACTAGTAAACACTGAAACCACTCAGGCTCCAAAGACAGCAGAGCAGATGAGCCTCCTCCTGCTAGTTACATCTACACTCCCGTGTGCTCATCAACAGCCCTACATACATTAGACAGTGTGTCTATCAATAGTCCTAATCACATTAGATGGTACGTCTATCAATAGTCGTACACTGACACAGCATACATGTCAATTATTTCTTTTCTTTTCTTTTCTTTTTTTTTAAGGCAGGAGCTCACTCTAAATCCAAGCTGACTTGAAACTCAATCATTCATTTGTATAGCCCAGGCTAGCCATGAATACACATTCTTGCATTCACATGCCCAGGTATGAGCCACATGCCTCTTTCAGGACAACAGTTCTCAGATTTCCCAGGTTCCACTCCACATATATGCCAGCCAAAAGATACATCTGAGACCAAGTATCCCACCCACCCACTGTCCATCGGGAAAATGAATACTGTAAGAACTATTTATTATTTTTATTTTATGTGCACTGGTGTTTTGCCTGCACTCATATCTGTGTAAGGGTGTTGGATTCCCTGGAACTGGAGTTACAGACAGTTGTGAGCTGCCATGTGGGTGCTGGGAATTGAACCCAGGTCCTCTGGAAGAGCAGCCAGTGCTCATAACCGCTGAGCCATCTCTCCAGCCCCCCTGAAAGAACTATGAAGTACAACAGTAAAACAAACAGGTGAGAAGGATACACACCTCTTCTGCCACCAGCCCACGGATGACTCACTGAACTCTAATTCATGTGTCTAGTTACTTGACAATTATATTCCCCAAACACTATTGATACATATATGTAGCATTCCCTACACCTAGAATTAACCAAACAACAATCTAACTAAAAGTAACTTAGTAATTAAAATGTTAACAGGAGGGGCTGGAGAGGTAGCTCTGCTGTCAAGAGCACTGGCTGCTCTTCCAGAGGTACAGAATTCAATTCCCAGCAACCCATGGTGGCTCACAACTGTCTATAATGGGATCTGATGCCCTTTTCCAGCATGCAGGTATACATGAAGACAGAGTACTCACATAAAAAAATAAATAAATTTTAAAAAATGTTAACAGAGCACTTAAAAACCAAGACTCGTTCAAAACAAGGAATGCAGAACTTGGACTGAGGGTGGACATTGTGGCTGGATGGCAAAAACCTCTTAAGAGTTGTCAGCAGCCAGGTGGCGATGGCTCACACCTTTAATCCCAGCACTCAGGAGGCAGAGCCAGGCGGATCTCTGTGAGTTTGAGGCCAGCCTGGTCTACAGAGCAAGATCCAGGACAGGCACCAAAACTACCCTGTCTTGAACAACCAAAAAAAAAAAAAAAAGAGTTGTCAGTCAACTTTGGTAATGCCAATTTTAGGAATCACTAACAAGGATACTAGATGGGACACTAATAAGTAATCATTAATAAAATACATCTAGGGCTGGAGAGATGGCTCAGAGGTTAAGAGCACTGACTGCTCTTCCAGAGGTCCTGAGTTCGATTCCCAGCACCCACATGGTGGTTCACAACCATCTACAATGAGATCTGGTGACCTCTTCTGTATACATAATAAATAAATCTTAAAAAAAAAAATAAAATAAAATAAAATACATCTAGAAATGAATTTAGGGGCTTGAGAGATGGCTCAGTGGTTAAGAGCACTAGCTGTTTTTCCAGAGGTCCTAAGTTCAATTCCCAGAACCCACATGGCAGCTCCCAGCCATCTTTAACTGGTCCCAGGGTGATATGATGCCCTCTTCTGATGTGCAGACATACATGCAGACAAAACATCCAGATACACAAAATAAATGAATCTTTTAAAACACTAATTAATTAATAAAAGCACACAGAGCTGCACCTCATTCTTAGGAAGGTGCAAGCCCAGGCTCTCAGAAGGTCACCCCACACTGTGGGACAGACTGACTAGGACTGCCAAGAGTAGTTGCCATTATTTGCCAGGTCACACATGGATAATTCACTAGCCAAACCTTCCCCCAGAGGCTCCGTTTTGCCTTCAGTGTTGGAATGCTTTGCTTTAAAATCTCTGAAGTAAGACTAACATTTTAAACTGAAAGGCTCACATATAAAACTTAGTTAATTAATTAAAAAGACAGACATAGTGAGCTCACACCTTTAATCCCAGTGAAAAGCAGAGGCAAGTAGATCTGTGGGAGTTCAAGGCCAGCCAGGTCACATAGTTATGATCAGGTCAGCCAAGGCAACATAGTGAGAGTCTATCTTTAAAATTTTTTTACTGTGAGTTCGAGGCCAGCCTGGTCTACAGAGCAAGATCCAGGAAAGGCACCAAAACTAGACTGAGAAACCCTGTCTCGAAAAACCAAATAATAATAATAATAAAAAAGAAAGAAAGAAAGAAAGAAAGAAGGAAGGAAAGAAAGAAAGAAGGAAGGAAGGAAGGAAGGAAGGAAGGAAGGAAGGAAAGAAAGAAAGAAAGAAAGAAAGAAAGAAAGAAAGAAAGAAAGAAAGAAAGAAAGAAAGAAAGAAAGTTAGTTTAAAAGGGGGGCTGGAGAAATGGCTCAGTGATTAAAGAGTACCTAGTACCTAGGTTCAATTCCCAGCCACCACATGGTGGCTCACAACCATCTATAATGGGATTTGATGCTCTCTTCTGGCATGCAGGCATACATGCAGATAGAGCACTCATATACATACAATACACAAATAAGCAGCTCTTTAAAAAAAAAAAGCTAGCCATGATGATGCGTATCTGTAATCCTAGCATTCAGAGGGCTAAAGGAGGAAGATTGCTGCCAGTCCAGTGCCAGCCTGGGCTATGCAGCAAGTGCCAACAGCAGCCACAACACTAAACAGGGCTGTCAGAAAAGAATTTTCTGGCTTCCCAAAGAGAACACACACAAGAGCTGACTGAGCTCATTAACTGTGGCCTACACATCCTTCCAGAAAAGCTGCCAGACACCAAGTCATATGACCTGCTGCATCTGTCTGTGACCTGAAGCACTCTTCTGGAACCTGGCCAGTGTCGTTCATTCGTGCCACCTTCCAACCCTTGAGACCATTTGAGTTTGAGTCTCTACTCAGGAGACTCTGTGACACCAAAGTCTCACAAACTTACTGAAAGGCCAGAGGCAGCAGCACACTTTCTTCCCTGTCTTCTAAACAGCAACTCAGAAGTTACTAAGAACTTACACTCCACCCTCTCCCACCCCAGACAAGGTTTCTCTCTAGACCAGGCTGGCCTTGAACTCAGAGATGGGCCTGCCTCTGCCTCCTGAGTGCTGAGATTAAAAGCCACCACCCAGCAAAACAAAATACACACACACACTTTAATGATAGGGCTGGAGATGCAGCTCAGTTTGTAGAGTGTTGCTTAGCATGCACAAGACTCTAGCACCACATAAAACTGGACATGATGGTACACACCTATAATCCTAGTATCAGAAATTCAAGGTCATTCCTGACTACATAACAAGGCAGCCTAGCCTGCAAGAAACCCTGTCACCAAAAAAAAAAAAAAAATCAATGCCTACATTAAATGAAAAGTGCAGCGCCCAATGGTGGTGGTGGCACACACCTTTGATCCTAGCACCCGGGAGGCAGAGGCAGGCGGGTCTACAGATCGAGCTCCAGGACAGCCAGGGCTACACAGAGAAACCCTGTCTTGGGGTGGGGGGGAGGAGAGGGCACATTTCAAAAGAACAGAAAAAAAAATTTTTTTTTAGATGAAAACTTCACCAACTAGAATGGGAAGGAAAATTAAGAGTTGCTTTAAAACAATTTTATTTTTACATATACAATGCAAAAAGAAATTCTGATTTCACTAATACTAGAGATGCCCATAAAACAGACTTTATGCAGTCTCTCTCAGCCATCAGTTTTATTACTTATACTGCTCTTATTCTTGTTTGCGACAGGGTTTACACTCTAGTGCAGGCTGGCTTGGAACTGACTGTGACCCTCCTGCTTCAGCCTGCAGAATGCTGAGAATACAGATATGTCTTACCACGCCCAACCTAAACTGCTTTAGACTGAATTTTCAGAACCTTCTAAAATCAACAACTGAAACACTGGTTGCTGCTAGAACTATGTGAGGAGTTCAGCATCATACACCTTTTAAAACAACACCTTTTAAAACAATCACCTCCAGTAAACATAAAACTATAAACAAATGACACATTATAACACCAATTTCCTCTTTCATACTGAAAAGTTCACACGAATGAAAGAAGCCTAGAAGGAGTAAAAAAAAAAAAAAAAAAGAAAAGACAAACTGTGAGTGCACACAGACAAGGGGTAGTACTACCCTTTTGTTAGACCAGGAAATAGATGGAAACCAACTGCTCATGACACTCCAACAACATGAGAACTTCCTAAAACCTGAACCCAAGTTCCAGCCTCTCATACTCCATACTCCCTAATTTCCACTGAAGATATTCTGTCTCCAAGTCATAGCAACAAACAGCCACATACGGGGGGGGGGGGGGGGGTCATCCTTCCAGATAAATTGTTTGTAAGACTAGGATGCAGCCTGCTGCAACTTTAAAATAACTCTGTCTGAATTTGTTATTGGCTAAACCTTTGCAGTAATCTTGTTTCCCAGCATATTGAACCAGACAGCTGTACTTCAATCAGTCTGGTTATTTTAAAAATCAAACTACAAAAGTCCACTAAGCATGCGTTCAAGTCTTATACTAAAAGGCATATAAGCATTTGTGGTACAACAGTTCCTAATTTACTTTTTTTTTTTCTGAATTAAAACTTCGTTTGAATTAATGCTACCCAGTGAGTAACGTCTAGCCACACCAGCCATATCTATTTTCAACCAAAATATGAGTCTGGAATAGCTTTTGGTTTTTAGTGCAACATGTGGCTTTGAGATACCAGCATTTTTCCAAAGACGCTGTTCTTGTTCACAACTTTCTTAGTTGGAAAAACTACCAAGTTCAAAAGCTGCCATGGGAATCCACTCACCCGATCCTTCATTCTCCAGCTCTGCGCTAAAGATTTGGAGCCTTCGATTTTCTCACAATGTCTTTTTTTCATAAAAGCCAAAGGCAGGTTCCAATCTGTAAGGTCGGCCTCATCTTCCTCCCCGAGTCCCATAAGAGGCGACTGCAGCATCTCCGACTCCATCAGGGGGGGAGGGGGAGGGGGAGTCCTTGGCAGCAAGCGCTCAAGAACCTCCAGCCTTAAAAACTAGTGTGTACCAGAACTGGAGAAATAAAATACAGGAAAACGGGGAGTTGGGGGAAGAAATGGTGGGAGAGTGTTCGAAGATCTTATTCAGGCAAAACACTCGGAGATCTTTATCTCGAACTCTGGGCGGGAAGTCGGAGGGGGCGGGGTGGGGGTGTAGAGCCGGTGGGTAACCAACCCGCAGCCCCAAGAGCTGCGCGGGCACACACGCGCCCCAGCCCACACCCGCAGCTCCGGAGGCCGTCGGTTTCCGGAAGAGCTGTGGGCCGGACTGTCAAGGCGGGAGAGACTTCAGGCCTGGGGGATGACCCTGCTCCCGGCCTCCAACGCCTCAGTGGATCCCAGGGCAGCCAGGCCGCCCCGCTCACGGTGCGGGTTCTCCCACTGCGCTGGCCGGGCTGAGGCCTCAGGAGGTCGGGCTCAAGGGGCTTCGGGGCTCGTCCACCGGCTCTCAGCCCTGCGGGTCCCGCACTCGCCTGAGGGGCTGCAACCTGAGCCAGGACCGGCCCATCGTGCCCGTCCGCAGCCGGCTCCTCAGCCCCGGGTCCGCGCGGCCTGACCCGTCCTGGCCTTCGGCTTCGTGGCTCTCTCCTGTCCGGGAACGAGTCCCGAGACACGCGCGACACGGGTCTGCGGACCACACAGGAAAACTGGGCTTATTGGGTCAGGGGAGTTTTGCCCTCTGCTCTGGAGCAACAGTAAAACTCCTCTCATCAGCACATCAAGGAGGACGCCATATTGCCAAGATCCAGCATGCACCGCTGTCTACGGCGTGTCCGATAATCCAAACCTCTTCAATCGTTCTCGCCGCTCTACCCAAGCGCGAGCTGAGAGCTCTGAGTTCTGTCTTCCCCTCCCCCCATCTCGTTACCGGGGTTACCACGTCGTCCTTTCTCAGTTGATCTCCACTAGTTCAGTAGACTTGCGTTACAAAAACCAATCCTGAGATTGAAACTATGTCCGTTTAGTTATCTTTAAAAGCTTTTTGCTACTACGAAGTATGGTCCTTTATATTAAAGAAAAAGACCACTTTGTTTCGTCCTGATTTTAAAAGGTGGTTTAAAAAAAAAAAAAGCCTCAGCAGGGCGACGGTAGCGCAAGACTTTAATCCCAGCACTCCGGAGACAGAGCCAGGAGGATCTCTGTGAGTTGAGGCCAGCCTGGTCAACAGAACGAGATCCAGGACAGGCACCAAAACTACACAGAGAAATCCTGTCTCGAAAAACTGAAAAAAAAAATAAAATAAAATAAAAGCCTCATAAAAAGCATTCATGCCGGGCGGTGGTGGCGCACGCCTTTAATCCCAGCACTCGGGAGGCAGAGGCAGGTGGATCTCTGTGAGTTCGAGGCCAGCCTGGTCTACAGAGGGAGATCCAGGAAAGGCACAAAGCTACACAGAGAAATCCTGTCTCGAAAAACCAAAAAAAAAAAAAGCAGCATTCATAGTAAAACACGTAAGTCTGTTGGGGCTTTCTTTTTAATATTTCCATTTTTAAGAGGAGGAAGATTTCATCAATTACAATTTTTTTTGTCTGATCTACCTTTTTTCTGAGCAGTTTATTATTCTTTTGCTACAGCTTCATGTGCCAATGACTAAAGCTGCTGCTGTCTGCTCACTGAAGCATGCCTCCTGCATTACTTCTGTTTCAAGTCAGTAAATCTCAGTTATTGACATATCCTGAGAACTGTATTGTTACAATGGGAATATAAACTAAATGTGACATGTGGTGTCAGCCTTGCAGAACCAGGGTGCTATTGAGATACTCTTAACCTTTAGCTACAGTTCAGGCAGGCAAAGGGACCCGTCTCACCTCTGCCTTCAGCCTTGGCGTTGGGGGAGCCTCTGTTAGCATCAGTATAACCAATTTCAAGCTGTGTGACCTCAGTCTTAGGTTCCTGAACTGTAAAGTTTGGGTGGTAATATTAAATGATATTACTGAAAGGATATAATTCGTTTGTGAAGATGCTTAGGTCAGCCTAGGCTGCAGAGTAAGATTCTGTCTTTTAAAAAGAAAAAAAAAATCCCCAGCTGGGTGTGGCTCTCTCCTTCAATCCCAACACTAGGGAGGAAGAGGCAGGCAGATATCTGTGAGTTCGAGGCCAACCTGGTCTACAAATCAAGTTCAAGGGCAGTCAGGACCATTACACAGAAAAACCCTATCTTGGAAAAAAAAAAAAAAAAAGGTGGGGGGAGATTTGCCAGGCAATGCTCAGCACTTGGGAGGCAGAGCCAGGAAGATCTCTGTGAGTGAGGTCAGCCTGATCTACCAGGGCTACACAAAGAAACCCTGTCATGAAAAACAAAGATGCCTAGGACATAGCAAGTCCACTGAGCATTAGTGCTGACTGGTCCACCACTCCAATATAGTCTACCAACTGTATGCCTTAGGTTAGTCTCCTGCAGATACCATTCCTCAGAGTAGATCCATGGTTGGACACAATGTGGCAGTCCCTACCACAATCCAGGTAGCATCTGAGTTCCTTTCAGCCTGAGAGTCCGTGTTGCAATCCCAGATCTTCCTCACCAGCACTTAAGTGTTTCATGTAATTCCCTGTTCAGTTATCATCCCAGGAATTCTTGTGGTTACTGTATCACACAGAGCCCATTCTTCTCAGGGCAATACACCAAAACAGAGTGTCCCAGCAGCAGCGGCGGCGGCTTTAGGACTTCCAAGATCTCCAGAAGAAATCACAATACCTCCTGCCTTCACCTTGTCCCTCTACCCTATTTTGTAGTCCTGGGGCCCAAGGTGCCATAACCTCGGGCTGCAGAGATTTCTATTGCAGTCATTTTGCAGGAAGTCACAGAAAAGAAGTGGCATTGTTCCTTAATTGCTCTGTGACCTGGAAAATTTGTTTCATCTGTTTCTTCACCTGTAAAGAGGTGGATCGTGAGAAACCCACAGACTTTCAGGTATTCCAAAAGCAAACAGCAATAGACTAGGGAAATCGCTGTAGGTGACATACTGACTGTGCGAGTGTAAGGAGCTGAATTCAGTATCCTGAATCAGGTGTAGAGCTGGGAGATGGCTCAGTGAGTAAAGCATTCACTGCACAAAGGTGAGGACCTGAGTCAGATCCCCAGCACGCATGTAAAGGCAGATGTAATAGTGCACATCTGTAATCCCAATACTCACACTGCAAGGTAGAGGTGGAGACAAAAGAATTCCTGGAAACTGGAAGGCCAACGAACCTAATGTATGCAGTGGTGGATAAGATAGGATATGCAGTGGTGGATAATAAGATAGTATATGCAGTGGTGGACAATAAGAGACCCTGGTATCAAGCTAAAAGTCAAGGACCAAAGCCCAAGGTTGTCCTTTGACCTCCACATATGTGCCATAGCATGCATGCACCTGTACTCACACATGTAAATGTATACGTATACATATATACACACACATACACACACACACACACACACACACACACACAAAGGCATGCCTAGCCAAATTAACAAGTTTCAAGCCAGTGAGAGACTCTGTATACAAACTAGGTGTGATTAGAGCCACAGCTCATGGGTTAAGAGCACTTGATACTTTTGTAGAGAACAGGAGTTCGATTCCCAGCATCCACATCAGACTGCCCACAACCACAGGTAACTCCAACTCCAGGCTATCTGACACCCTCTTCTGGCCACTGTGGGTACCCACACACATGTGATATACATATACATAAACAAAGTAAATCTTTACAAAAGAAAATCTAGGTGGGCACATCTTTAGGAACAACACCTAAGACTAGCCTCTGGCCTGTGCACACATGTACTCACATATACACAAGCATATATGAACTTATATAAAAAAATAAAAAAGAGATCAGGTAGCAAGGGAACCTACTGCCTTAGATCCCTGAATCATGGGGTGTAAGAAGACAGAGACTTGGGGTTTGTATTTTTTACTTAGTCAGAGCTATGGACAGGAGACAATACTCTCTCTCCAAAGTTCCCTTCAATGACTGAGTTTCATCCCACACACCCCATATACATACACACACACACCACACACACCAGATATATCACCCATACACAATACACATACCACCCATACACACAATATACACCCAATACACATACACACCACAGACACATACCACACATACACAGCACAGAAATCAGTATGGTAGCTTATTGTGCAATTCCAGCACTTGGGAGGTGGAGGCAGAAGGCTCAGAAGTTCAAAGTCATCCTCGGATACAAGGCAAATTCAAGACCAACCTGCGATACATGAGATTCTGTCTCAAAAAACAAAACAAACAAACAAACAGAATCTAGCCATCCAGTTCCCCAGTGCACCACCACTTCCCGCAGGTACCGACAAGGCCCTGCCCCTCAGGCTCCCTGCCTGTCACATGTAATCTGTGATTCATGGGGAAGCCAGGAAGAAGTTAACAGACCAGCTCCCAACCTGAAAGTTGAAGAACGTGCCAGATTATTTCATTTAAAAGAAACCATCTTGCACATGTCCTGGATGCTTCCATTCAGGTCCCAGACAAGCCCTTGGAAGAGCACTGGAGGATTTCAGCAGGCAGGGCACCCCCATAGCAAATGACAGGCTGAAGAATGCTAAAGGGTTGATGTTTCTGCCAGGGCAATCCAGTCTCCGTGTCATGTGATCAGTTGGCCACTTGGGCCTGCAGTCCATTTCAGCGTCCCCTCCGTCGTTCATCAACAAGGCCGCCAGTTTCCATAGAGCTGTTCACTGAAACCATCTAATGATGAAAACGCACGTTATACATTTCCAGAATTGTGTAAAATCTAGTCTGAGACAAGATATGAAAACAGAGGTGGGAGTTGAGGATGACCTCCCACCCCCGCAGTCTGTTACAGTCTCTGCCTACATGAGAAAGGTGTTTATAAACCAAGTGCCTCTGAGACCAAGAGCTGACGGACAGTGTCAAGATGCAGACTCAAGCAGGAAGAGAGGAAGGGCTTCCAGGCCCAGCTCTGACCTCGAACTAGCAGAAACACTGCTGACCTGCCAGACAACAGGAGTGGGACCCACAACATGGCGGGAGACCTCATCGCCCCTCACCAGCACTCAAACTTTGACTGCCAGGCTAAGGAGATAGCTCAGTCAGCAAAGAGCTTCTCCTGCAAGCATGAGAGCCCGAGTCTCAGCCCCAGAAACTCATGTGTTTTGTTTTAAATGTGCTGGGCACAGAAGCACATGCCTCAGCACTCTGTGAGCTCAAGGCCTGCCTGGTCTACATAGTGAGTACCAGGCCAGGCAGAGCTACACAATGAGACCCTGTCTCAAACATTAAAAAAAAAATTGTTTTTAAAGTGCAGGAGAGGCAGTACATCATTAAAATCCCAGTGCTTGGGGTGGTAGAGACAGGCAAATCCCTGGGGCTTGATGGCCGGCCAGCCAGCCTAGCCTATTTGTCAAGCTAGTGGCCAGTTAGAGACTCCATCTCAAACACAGGGTGAAGGAACCTACAGAGCACCATCCACCATTGTCCTCTGGCCTCTAGCATCTGTACCTTACACACACTCAAACATGTACACACATGAACAGAGAGAGACACACACACAAACACATATCCTTGGAACCCTTAACAACCTGATGCCAAAGACAGAGTGAAGTGAATAAGAGGCAGACACAGGACCTGAGATGTTGGTCATGGATAACAGCGGCCAGCAGGACGGAGGAGAGCGCACACAGGGCAGGAGCTCTGGGTAAGAGGCTAGACAAACAGCCCTTCCCAAAAAGAACTGATGTCGCTGTCTTTTCAGCACCTTTTAGCTTGGCTGGGGCCTGCTGCAA